CGTGTTTGAGACGGAGATAATCAGGAGTGAATCTCAAAAACATGATGTGGCATAATATTTTTGAGTCATATGCGGATATAATAGCACCGAAGGATGAGCTATATGCGCTGTGTATACACCTTTATTTGCAAGTACTGCATAATTCCTTCAAATATATCGCTGACGACGATGGGGGATCTCTGTAGGGCTCGATTGGTTATTTGGACAGCTCTCGCACAAACACTGGACAGAGGAGTTGCTTTTGGGAATGTCATTAATGACTAGGCATGAGTTTATTAGCTAAAAGTTTTGTCCTACCGTGGGGTGGGTGTGGAGCGTTTGTCGAAAGAGCTCCTTGTATTGAAGAAAACATCGTGGATACAAATCCACCTACGATTTTACGTTGCTGTAACGTGAATTTTCATCGTTTTCTTACTTTATCATTCATCTGGTCAAGGAACACAAGAGCATATATGTGTGGATCCAATACAGAATCATGATTGTGTATAGCAGTGACGATTTTAGCCACATTGTAAACAGCGCCTGGTCATTTATCCATAGCCGCGTCGGAGATTATCAGGAGTTAAGATCGGCTTGAATCTTTACCGTAATCAATTCTATCTCGTTTCATACTTCCAAATTAACACCATTGCGTTAACGTAAGTACGTATTACTACAAAAGTCAGTCTTAGCCACTAAATCCTGTATCAACGTCAAGAAACAAACAATGATTACTGCCAATTTTCGGTTATCCTTTACGCGCTACATCCTGCAAAAATAGAATGCGGATCGCATCTCCAAGTATAAACTCTATTTTGAGACAATTAACACTTCAGGCATCACCTTTCTTACAACGGTCAAAGACGTTCGTAAACTTGAATCACTCAAATATGGACTCTCCATCAATATATTCGGACTCGATGACAGTAATGTAGGCAATACGCAGCTTGTAGTCTATCCTAAATTGATCTCCAAAACAGCCTTATACCGCAGGATCAGTTTACTGCAGTATGAAAGCCATTTCGTGTACATCAAAGACTTCTGCCAAATATGTCTATCTCGGCACACGCAGGAAACAAATCATGGACACTAACATATCTTGTCTGGATACTGTCAGGAATTACAGTGTGTAGATGACGAGTGATGAGATGTTAAAGATAGAGTATCATCACAAACAAATACACTCATGCGTTCTATACGCTTTTCAACTGCAAGGATAAGCTGGAAACCCTCTCCAGATCCTAGTCATTATTTCACTTAAGTCTACTACAAGCTCGTCCCGTGTTCAATTGGGTTTAAGGTATGCTGTTCCGTTGATGAATCCCTGTCATCAGATTATCGTCAGTATCGCGGTGAAGATTGCTTTGCATGATTCTTTCAACAACTCGCATCAGAGTTGACACGCATTCGAGGATTCGTAAAAATCTAGCACCGATCATTTCAGTCACCCCACAACAGCTGCGACAACACAAGCCAGTTTAGCAGTGACACATCTGCGAAGAGTAATCTAAACCCCATGATACTAAAGTGAAAGGCCACTTTCACATCACTGGTTACAATCGAGGAGTTGTTCACGATGTTGCACACTTACGCTTCAAGGACCCAGACCTCCTTCCAGTCACTACCATTAATCTGCGAGGATACCATGGGCACTTCATCGTCGTAGATCTCAAACATCCGCACATCAAACAAATTCTCGCTAAATTTGGAACTAACATTAAATGTAACCCCAACAATTTCGAAAAGTATATGTCGTTCATCGTTGGACATTTCCGATTCATCGACTCATTTTAGTTTATGTCCACATTGCACCAATTTGTTCGCATGTATGTGTACAGGGCAATCATGGTAGGTTATGTATGGTCATAAGGTGAGAGATCTCATTACTCTAAACATTGCATAAAAAAGATGTAAAATGTGCTAACACCATTTAGGACTAACGAGATCGCTAGATACAAATATAATAATGAGCATTATCACCGCTCACAAATTGTGAAAGATTCATAATGATCAAGATTAAGTTAATATTGTATTTACAAAAATATTTAAACACTTTAAAATTTAAACTATATATCATTTAGTATTTGTATTATTTTAAATAGTACTTTCCTACAAATCTAAATTTTGCCATTGTTATTTTTCCTGGTTGTATTGTCTTCCTAAATTCGGTATAATTTAATTATTGTTGTATATATATATATATATATATATATATATATATATATATATATATATATATATATATATATATATATATATATATATATATATATATATATATATATATATATATATATATATATATATTGCATTAATTCAGAAATGTTAGAATTCTGTTTTGATTCAGCCATATTTAAAATTATCAAGATTTATATTACAGTCACTACAAAAGTTTAGTACTACTTTTATTCTAGGCCGATACTTTATACTATCTGCGAGCTTTTCGGTCACCTCCAGTATCCATGACAGTTTCAAACATTTTGTGTTAATTATAGTCTCATTATAAATTTTAAAATATCTGGATTATTTATCCGCATCGCTACGTTCACGTTCATCATAATTATTTGCATCTTCGGTTCACTTTTTGATCTCATAATCTGATGGATTGCTTTCCATTTCCAAAAGAAATTTCTGATTTTACACAACTTCCTGGGTGACGTCTCTAATCATTTTTAGTTACTCATTTAGACATTTTCAGCGTTATTGTAGCTTCCCCTACCAGCTGGTGATTTTGCTTTCTGGGGCCTTATTTTTAAATACACCTAAAATCACGTTTTGAGGTTTGAACAAGTGGTTGCACACTCAGCATATCGTCTGTACTTTGAGTACCACTAACGCACATACAGATGAAATATATAAATATATGGATAACACAATTTCTTGCATTGTTTGGATAGAGGGAAGGAATTGGTTGCATTCAATACTTTTTAAACAGTTAATGTCACTTCAATATATTAATACAGTAAAGAAAATACAGACACACACACACATATATATATTATATATATATATATATATATATATATATATATATATATATATATATATATATATATATATATATATATATATCCATCCATCCATCCATCCATCCATCCATCCATCCATCCATCCATCCATACATACATAAAAATACGAATAAGCACACATCACCAGAAATGATTATTACAAAGTCGATGGTTTATGAATTCGTATGTAACAGGCACACTTACATGCAGACCTTGTAAAACGTAGACACGAACTCTGGTCCGCGGGTATACTGCACCCATTGCCTTGCCTTCGAGTGTGTTTGCAACAAACTAGTCAATATATCACCGACTTTGTAGTGTCATGTTTAGAAATGTGTGCCTACTATGCAGAGTACGTATTAAAATAAGTACCTAATCCGTATAATAGTAATATGTGAATTAATATTAATCTAGATTGCTTGGTGTATATCTGTTATTTTTTAAATCTCTCTCTCTCTCTCTTCTCTCTCTCTCTCTTCTCTCTTCTCTCTCTCTCTCTCTCTCTCTCTCTCTCTCTCTCTCTCTCTCTCTCTCTCTCTCCTTTACTATTCGATTAACTTGTCTTAATCTAACAATATCGGAAATGTTACATTAAATGATTCCTTTATGCAAAATAGAGCTTTTAAATACTTAAATTTTTTCTAATTATGTGATTGGTTTTAAGGCATATACATAGATGTATATTTGTTAATAAGATCTTAGTGACGATTTTGTGTCACCTCTTACGTGATATCAATATCAATAGTTGTTAAAATGATTGAAGTCTTAAATTACCTTAGGAAACGCTTTCAGAATTTGGACTATGTTCATGTGTTGGATTAGGACACGTTGGGTTATTTAAATTTTGTCCTTGCATAAGTTATGGATAACCTGTGGAATTCGTAAAAAGTCATAAATATACGTAAAAGACAGTCTGCTCAACATATTTAGGTTTATTAAAAATTGTGTAGATACAATATTATAAAATAATCTTTATTGAATCTTTGTTCAGGTCATAAGGTGTAGTCACAATACAAGGTTCAAAACCTAGAAAGGTAGCTAAACCATTGAATATATTACAACATGAACATGTAAATATGTGCAATTTTAAAGATGAATTAAACTTGTGAAGGAGACTTGGAACATGCTGTTCATTTGTTATATCATATTTTATGCAAATTTCTGTCCGTCTTAAACTAGATATTTAAACTTTGAGATTAGAGTTTATTATTTCAAAACAAATACGAATATTCATATTTTAGGATTATATGTGTTTGAAATCAGTCTGGAGATGAAACAGATGCTCATTTAATAATTGGAGTTATGTAGGTTTCATCTGTTGTAAGCACGTCAGTATCACGACATATTGAAATCGGACAGGCATAATCACATATTGGGATTATATAAGTTTGATCTCTTCCAGGTACGTTTGTTGCCTCATTCTCACAAAATTCAACAGGACAAACAGGGTCATTTATTAGGGTTATATAGTTCTCATCTGTTATATGCACGTCGGCTGTCTCAACATGACAAATAGCTATAGAAGGAACATAATCGTAGTGCCCATGCTTTGTACTGCTTTCGGTTGCATGGGCATTTCTCTCCATTACACTGCCTGTGGCATAATCGTAGAATGAAAAAGCAGTCTGAAAGAGAGAATCAAAACGAATATATCTAAAGGATTTATTACTTTGAACTACATAAGAAACGAAAAAAAAAAAATCATTGACTAGAAAATGTTTTCTTGCGTCTGGGTTTACATATAAAATAAAATAGATTTTACCAAACATAGAAGTGTGTGTATGTGTTTGTGTATGTGTGTGTGATTCGGATGTTTAATGTAGCATTAAAACAAATTTCTGTCATATAGCTACGATATCCGTTGCAGTTTATGATGATGTTTAGCATCAAGCCACATACATGATGCTCCACCCAGTCACATTATCCTGACACCAGGAAAACTAGTTCCAACATTAACCTCCTAATTCTGAGCGCCTAGCGAGGCAGCTGTTAAACTGTTTCTAAGACATTGGTATGACTCGGCCGGGGTTCGAACCTTCGACCACCCGCATCTTAGGCTGGAGCTCTAACCGCTAGGAGACGAGATCAACCCAAACACGATAGAGATACTCAAGCAAAATTTGGGTAATGAATGTTGAGTGGTACATGAACTAAACTAAAATAAACTGTTTATTCCGTGACTGTTAGGATAGTAATTGACTAATATACGATCGATAATGTGCAAATTACACTTCAATTTTCAATATCAAAAATAGCTACTATAATGTTAAATAAATGATTATTACTGTCTGTCTCTAAAGGAATTACATTGCTTTGAGACAGATTAAGTCAACGCTTACCAGATGGTCTTTTGAGCAGCATTATATTCCAGTTTTTGTTTCTACTTTTCGAAACTGTCATTTACATCTACGTGTTACGTCCGTCAGGGAATGAAGTTTTGTTTCTCAAAATTGATGATCGACAGATGAATGAGTCAGCATCCTTGTTTGGACGTGTGTGTGTGAGTGTGTGTGTCTATATATATATATATATATATATATATATATATATATATATATATATATATATATATATATATATATAAACACAGATCTAGACGTAAATGATCACAAGAAGTATATAACCACATGCCTAAACAATACAAATAACTTGAAACAACCAAAATATTAGAATCCAAGCGACTTACCACTGAATGGTTTACAAGTGAATCTACAAATTAGTTAGCGAAAGTTAAGTGACATGACCGTTATTGGTACGTGTGACACGTTATTGTGATGAAAGCTGTGTACAGCGTTGCATTACATTCATTGGCACCTTTTCGTCTTCATGTTTCACGAATTAAATAGTGTAATTTTTCAAATACAATGGCTTCCTGTATCTATAGTATACGATTTAAACTGACTATACTAGATTACTCGACATCTATAATTATGAAATCGTTCTTAATACACTTTAGAGGCACTTGACTTTGATTAAGTTCTAGTGTCCTATAAAAGTCTATCAATATGATAAACAAAGTAAAATAAAGAAAAGTATTCAAAAGATGTTTAATGAAGGAACTGTTTAAAGAACCAACAATAATGTTTGAGTCAACCAAATGCTATTTGGGACTTAACACTCCTAATTTGAATTCAATTGACAATAAAACAATATCAAATCTTTCAACCAATGAAATTATATATATTATATATAATTATATATATAATTAGTTGAAGGAGTGTTACAGTCGAAAATTTTAAGTAATAGAAACGAATACCCAAAAGAAGAGTGGATCACATAAGTTAACTAGCAAATATTTGAATAATATTGTACACCCGTAAGGGCTGGAATGGAAAGGGGAGAACGAACATCGTTCCTTTAATATTTTACCTGATCAATAATTCTGCACATACCTTCTTGTAAGATGGTTCAGCATTTTGTTTTCGTCATTTATATAGGTCCTGTGACTGTCTATCTTCATTATCAATTTTACTTTCCTTATTTATAGTTGTCAACAGTTTCATCACTCTGTTTCTCTTAGCAGACACCCCTATACTGTCTGGCCTTCTGTAGTGAGAATCTGCATTAATTTGAAGAAAAGATGATATATTATATTTTATGAATTTAATATATATTTTTGACGTTTCCTATACATTTATTCTTCTTCCAAATAAAATGTGAATAATTAGTACATGATATTTAAACTCAATTAGCAATTGCTGGGCCCTGGTTGGCCGAGTGGTCTAAAGGGCTCGTCTTCACTAATCAGTGCCATCTCACTTTTGTCCGCGTGGGTTCCAGTCTGGAGCTGGGTCAATGATGATATGTCAGAAAGATTGCTATTAGCTTTCCGTGGGTTTGTTGGATCTGACTGGGATTTTCCTTTATTCTTCGTTAACTAGATATACTGGCTGCTATTTATTGCCTATGATATGTTGAAAATGATGTTTAACCCACACCAGAACAAAGCGACAACAACATCGATTGATTTTCATTCAGAGGCTCCAAAACAAAGATTAACGATAGATAATGTTATATATTAAAAGCATGTACAAATATATATAACAATCATTGTCCATTACTTGAAGCTAGACTAATATAATTCAGCATCTACTTGTCCCTATTGCAAATGAACAAAAAGCAATAAAGATACAAGTAAGCAAAGAAATGAACAGAATATAAGCATACCATTGACATATTTTCTTTGACGATTTTAAATTTAGATCTTCAATTTTCCATAGTATTCAGTCATAACGTTACGTTTATAGCTCAAGTAAATCTTGTTCATTTCTGATTTTGAATGATAGTCAAAGTGTATTCTAAATTAACGTAGTAGACTTTTGTACACATATTTTGACTTAATCTGCTACTGTAGTGTATAGAATGAAATATCAGAAAATGCATTTAGTTGGTATGTTTCCTTATGGGTAGGCATCCTTTGTTCTATAAAGTTATATAAAATAATAGGCAGTTTGTATTCGGGATGATAATAACGTTCAAGAGCATACATGAATTTTGGATACTGTAAATGACAGTTTATTTTATTGTTGTCAGAATTATACATTTTAAGATTGATTCGATTCTTAGTAGTTAAGGAAAGTATTTATTTAAAACTTTTTACAAAAGATGATATTTTCTGGTCATTTAATATAACGAAATAATTTTGCTATCTGGAAATATTTTTTTTTATCTATAAAGTAAACGAAAAGAAGTTTAAGCATCATTACTTCTGACGCGTACTTGACGATTCTACGACATTATGCTGTTTTGCATAATACAGCAAAATATAATACCTCGTTCTCTTGCTAAACTTTTACGCCAGTGCATGGCAAATATGAAACATCCAACAATGATGAGGAAGACAAAAACAATGACTGTTCCTATCCAGTATTGTTTGAATCGGAGACCTGAAGGATAAAATAAATGGCGCTGTTTGATGTTTATGTAAATGGTCATAGAAACAGTTGAAACAATGGTACATTGTAAAACAATATCTGAATCATTATACTAAAACAAATGTTTTTTGTTCAAATAAAATATAATAGCTATTATGTGTTTTGTTTCCTCTTGATATTATCTGTAAAATGATAAGAAAATGTCATAATTTTCATCCACTAATAATTGCACATCAATAATGAAATATAAAAGAACTAATATATATATATATATATATATATATATATATATATATATATATATATATATATATATATATATATATATATAGTCCTAGTGTATACAAAATTTACATAATAGACTTTTGTAAACATATTTTGTCTTAATCTGCTACTGCAGTGTATAAAATGAAATATCAGAAAATGCATTTAGTTGGTATGTTTCCTTATGGGTAGGCATGTTTGATCTATAAAGTTATAAAAAATAATAGGCATTTTGGATTCAGAAGGATAATAACGTTCAATAAATATATAAAATTATATAAATATTATGTATATATATATATATATATATATATATATATATATATATATATATATATATATATATATATATATAATTTCTTTTATATTTCATCATAGATGTCTAACTATTTAAAAATATTATTGTAATTGTAATGCATTTTCATATATTTCAAAATGATCAAGTGTCCATAACCTCTCTCTCTGCATATATATATATATATATATATATATATATATATATATATATATATATATATATATATATATATATATATATATAGAGAGAGAGAGAGAGAGAGAGAGAGAGAGAGAGAGAGAGAGAGTTTGGAATATATATCGATATATTATGCAAGACATTCATCCAAGGAAATCATTCTTGGTTTATATTTTCATGGTGTTGATATTTGTTTTTACCCTGCTTATTTTCACGCATATCTTTCAATTTGTTCGATTTTTCCCAGCACAACAATGATGATAATGTTTATCTTTCTAGTAGTAATTATGCAGTTTCAATATATTTAATGCAATTAATGTAGCAATGCAAGTAAAGATAGTTCAAGCAAAACGAGTCGTAAGTAATAGTTGAACATTAATCTTTGTTTTCTTTGTTTTGTAAGAAACAATTATGAGTATTGAATTTTTCCTATCATGATACTTCATGATACTTGAAATATAAAAGATGCAGTTACAGTTTTTATAGCAGACAAAGCCATACAATGTATTAATTAATGTAAATATTCTACCAGTGTTGTGTCTAGGAATGGGTTGATATCAAATTTTTCATTTTCATATGAAGCAGTTTTGAAAGCACTATCGAACAAAACATCACACTTATCTACCTACAATCAATAGCTTAGAAAGATATATTGTTATAATTCTAATTTTTATGAATGAAACGGATTTTCTGCAATATGATTGAAATATAAACTGTCACGTGTTACTGATATGTAATTTTTTACACATCGATAAATTCTGGGACTACTTTAGGTATATAATATAAATATCAATAAACATTGCAGACACATCATTGTAAAACGATGGTTTCATCTTTTAAATGTTTAATTCAGCAAATAAATATAATTAATACCCTTTTATACATTTTCCAATATTGTTTGATTGAAATGTATAATTTTCTACATAATTCAGCGTTTGTCATCTACATACTCGAGAAAAAATGGCCGACTACAGTTATTTTTCACCTCAATTTTCTTCGGAATTTTTTGAATGATTAAATGTTAAAAGAAATAATAGCAGCGATTGAAGCTGATGGAGATGGATTTGATGATATTGCATTGGATGGTACAAGTACTGAAAATGAAACAGAACAATAGAGATTGAATAATTCGTCACCGGGCACCCCATGACCTCTGTTTCCCTAGTCATACACAACAATAATAATAATAATAATAATAATAATAATAATAATAATAATAATAATAATAATAATAATAATAATAATAATAATAATAATAATAATAATAATAATAATACTACTACTACTACTACTACTACTACTACTAATAATAATAATAATAATAATAATAATACTAATACTAATACTAATACTACTAATAATAATAATAATAATAATAATACTAATACTACTACTACTACTACTACTACTACTACTACTACTACTACTAATAATAATAATAATAATATTAATAATAATAATAATAATAATAATAA